GTGTGTGTGTGTGTGTGGTTGGTTTGTTTTTTTGGTTTGTGGAATTTTTGTTTGTTTTGGTTTGGTTTGTGTTTGTTTTGTTGGGGGGAGGGACATCTGCGAATGGAGATATATTTTGTTCAGATGTAACCTGAATCTTTCGTCAACGATGGGACAGAGGGTGTTTGTTACGTGCACCCAACTGTACATACATCTTCACATCACTTGATACTGGGGTGCCTTTCCGTCAGATCTACTCGTACTTTTTAGTAAGATGCCAATGTTCCTGCTCCGAAGCCGAATAAAGGAGAACATTTTTTTTCTCAAAAATATTGCTCTCAATCATCAGTGCTTACGAGTCTTTTTTACGCAGGGTGAACAGCTCTTGGTTTTTCTAATAAATCCACACCCTCTTTGTGATTCTGGTCTTTTGTTCTGCTTTTCTGTGGCTTTGTTGTCATTGCCTGCTCGTTAGACTCAGACAATCCAATTTCCTGAAAAAAGGATATTTGGCAATGAGGATCAAAAGAAGGAATATTATTTATTAACGTTTAATGTAATTTGTCATGGAATTATAACAAGGCACTATTTACACTCGATCGTGAACATCAATGTTGTCCTTTACTCGACAAATTTGAGTCCCATTCCTCTTCAAAGAATCTTCCCCGAAAGAAAACCCAACTGACAAAATGCTAGACGGTGTACCAGTTACGGAGATTTCTTTTACTTGAACAGCTCATCCATATTATTACATCACATCATTAAGCGAGCAATTTCATTTCTCACACAGAGTGAGTGCTTCATTAATAAACCATGGGAGTAATATTGACTTGCTTAACGAAATATCAGCAGGCATATCGGAAACGGAAGCAGCTTGATGACCGGAAGCTGTTCATCGACGCCCAGTTCCCACCACGTGACGTGTCACTGGGCACGAAGCATGGGAAACACCACCACAAGAAAATTGTTTGGAAACGACCATACGTAAGTACGGGCGTGTGATGTAACAATGACGTTCTAACAAATGAAATTAGGCAAGGCTGTAACACGTAATTGAATCTGTTACGTATGTGTGGCACTCTCTTGTGTTTTTCTGTTTGGGACCTTGTCATACGTACTTAGTTTTGCAGTCTTCTTAATTAACTTTGTATGGTACTAAAGAGAAAAATATTTTGGAAGAAAGAGCTCTAACTATTTATTCGAACACTTGCTTTTTAATTTCCTTTGTATAACTATCTCTCTCTAATTTCTCAACCTCTACAATCCTACACCCACATTTAGACAATATCCTTTACCTTTACCCCCCTCAACCTTTTTCCTCTCTGCCGCCTTCATGTCTTTTAAGCGCTCTACCCC